GTCAGTTGTTGGCCACCAAGGCTGCTCGGTTGAACTAGGTCTGGGTCGCCGGGTAGGATCAGGCCGCGAAGAGCTGGAAGGTCTGTCAGTGGGCCACCAAGGATGCGCCGTAGAAGTGGATCTTTGTTGAGTGGTTCTTGCCGGCCTTTGGCTGGACCTCAAAGTCCATGGCCAAGGCCAATCTACTTTGTTGAGGGGCGTACCATTCCGTTGTAAGTGGTCACTGAATGCCCTCCATGTAGGCGCCCACCTTGGTGTGGAATATGGTCGTTGAGTTGGCCGACCTGAGCTTCTATTCCACGAGGCCAGTAGATCCTTCGTAGATTCTTCCGGACGATTGTCGAGGTTTTGGTTCACGTTTAGCGTTAGCGCGGCGGCGCGTTCATCCGCTGACACGAGGGCCAGCCCCAAATGGGCCAGCAGCACGACCACGACGATCCTCGGTGGAACCATTGCGACTCACGTCCAATGGCAGAGTGATTGGGCTGTGCCTATTCCTGACCTTAAGTAGGTTGTCGTTATCTGTAAAACACTTAGCCTTATAAGGCTAGCAGGTGGGAATGTGCCGTCGACCTGCTGCTGGTACAACTGGTGCAACCTTTCCTTTTTGCTACTCGATCGCTCATGCGTCATTGAAACGCTTTGATTTCATTATCTGTACCACTTCGAATAAAATAAAACAGCCGTTTCCTTTTGCTGACGTGGTTGACACCGCCGAAGTACTCCGTTCTATCTTCTACAAAAGGCCACTTGTAAACCTTGTCGAAAAACTTACTCGCTCAACGGTTGTTTTTTTTTAAGCCATGGTGATCGGCAGTGGATGTCAATTAGTATCTTGCGTCAAGAGCCACTTGCGAAGAAATGAAGAGTGCTTGAGTCACGATTTTGCTTGAGATCTCCTTTACTCCTGGCAGTCATTCCAGTGTTACTCATACTGCAGTATTCGTCGTTACCCAAACTGTTGCATGCTTACTTAGAAAACCTGGGTGTGGGACACTCCCACACCTAATTGCTGTGAGGTACAGTGCGTCTGATACCTTACAGACGAACTATACCTCACATCGACTCACAGCAAAGGGTGCCAGACGCACTGTGCCTTACACTAACGGTGTCAGACGCACTGTGCCTCACACCAAAAGGTGTAGTACACACACGTGCCTCACACCAAAAGGTGTAGGATAAAAGTTCCTCACACCAAAAGGTGTTTCCAGAGTATAAGGGGTGGCTAATTCACGCCGCGCACTTTCGTAGTTAAACTGTACCGCACGCACGCATGCGGGCGTGTTGCCTACTCGCACGGCGCCATAAGGAGCCGTGAGAGCGAGGATATGTAAACCGGCAGCGGTCGGGTGGACTTAGGCAACCTAGTGCACATCGCTGTGCGTTGGGTGTGCGGTGATAGGTCGATCAACGTCCCTATTTTTGGCCACAAAATTGTGGCAACAATGCCGGCGGCCAGAGTCAGCTCAATCCGACCCGACTCTAGAACGTCCTTTTTCAGGTAATGTGAAATACGAACATTCAATGTATAGGCAGAAGACAAGGACTTGCCCTGCACCTAATTCCTGACAAGCCGAAAGGCTCTGAATGCACCTAAACTAACACAATATGGGGCCCATGGGCCGGGGGCCCCCACCCCCCACAACTAGAGGGTAGCTGGTGAACTGATTGCCTACCTCCAGGGCGCCCTCAGCCACGACTTGCCGCCCGATTCAGGAAAGCATTGCCTATCCTCCAGGCGTTTTCAGCGACAATCATCGACCCACGCCAAGATTGACACAGCGTCACTTTTTAGGTTTAGAAAGGATTTATGAGCCTGGGATCGAAAGGAGCCCAAACCCGGACGGGACAAATTTTTTCTTTGTCGCTTCTTGTCTCCCGCTAGGCAGCACCGAGCTCAGACCTCAACTGCTATATTCAATTAAAGCATTTCTCGTGAGCTACGCGCCCCTAAGCGAAGCGTGACCCAAGCGGCGTGGATTGCCGGCCCCGTTCCTCCCCGCCCCCTGCCCCTCGCCCTGCTCACGCTTGCAGAAGCGTACGCTTGAGGGCGCGTAGCTCAGAGAAATGCTTAGTTGAATATAGCTCGGAAGAGTAAGCTGGTAGCCGAGCGTGTTAAAGCGTGATCGTGGGCATGGTCGGTAGTTCGAATCCCGTCCGCGATCATTTTTCCTGCTCTGCTGGCCAAGTGACTTCTGGCGTCAGTCACAGCTGAGATGTGGATGCCACCGAAAGTTATGGTCACTATCGTATCGTTCCTTCGTGGTCAAGCCGGTAGCGTCCGTATGAACCTGGTCGCTGGTTCGTATCTCGTCGCGGTGATATTTTTAGCGTTCCGCTGGCATTACTTTAAAGCCGTGCGACACCTGATGTGATGGGCCGGTACGCAAACAGTCGCTGGTTCGAATC